ATCTCCCTAGAGAGTTGAGACTGACCCAGAACTCACTATGTGGCCCAGGCTGGTCTCAAACTCACAGTGGTCCTCCTGCCTCAGCCTCCTGAGCGCTGGGATTACAGGTGTGCACCACCACGCCCAGCCCTGACCTGGTTCATTCTTAATTACCTCATTCCCTGGAAGCAAACCCTAGGGATCAACAGTGTCAGGTGGATCTGCTGATGTATTCCAAGGGGCAGGGGCAGGAGGAGGCTGAAGGACGTCTGTTTCCAGCATGCCAAGACCTCAACCAGCTCCGTGTAAGAGAGGTAATAGGGGAAAAGTTATTTTGTGAATATATAAAAGGAAATCGCTCCCGAACACTTCACTATATGGCAGGGCATTATAGACGCTTCCATTAGAGATCATTTCATTTTCCACATCTTCATTTGGCATCTAAAAGAAAAGTGGGTGCACAGGAGATGGAGTGGGCATTTGTAGGAGGCCCACACGGGAAAAGCAGTCACGGCGATTCAACAACCCTTGCCCTCCAGGGCTCTGAATCAGGAGCTTCAGGTGTCTGCCTTCAAGACTCCCTTTCCTCTTCGTTTTCCCACAGAGCAGAAGGGAGGAAGGGAGTGAAGGAGGCCACTGTCCCTGCCGCTGCCATCTACAGGGGGCACTGAGAGAAAAGGAAAGGGCTTCACACAGGTGGCCTTCGGTGTCCCGAGCTGCCGAGAACCCCCTCAAACCGCTCGAGACACACCTTGGAGTCCGCTAGGTGCTACAGAAGGGAGAGCAAGCTTGTCTTCTTTTTAATCATGATAATCGGTATAGTTTATATTTATTTGTTAGGGTCTGATTCAACCATTTTACACATATTAAATCCCTTCGTCCCAACATCAGTCCTATCAGGCAGGTACCAATATTGTCCCCACAGCGTAGATAACGAAGTAAGCACAGGGGATTGTTTGTTTATTGGTACCAGAGATCACATTCAGGACCTTGCCCTTGCCAGGCAGGCAGGCGTGGTGCCACTGAGCTAAATCCCTGGCCCAAGCACAGGGAATTGTGCAACTCCTAGGTCCTTTCTTCTGGGTCAATTTGATTTCTTTTCCTTCTTTTTT